CCCCAAAACCCCAAAACCCCAAAACCCCAAAACCCCAAAACCCCATTTATTAGCTTTATAATTGAGCAAGAGTTATTATTAGTTAGGTTCAGACTACATATACCTTACGTCAATCACTGAGACATCTTTGTAGCATGTCGCAAGCATTTGCCCATCGTGGCTCCATTGGGTATCGAATATTCAATTCTTATTTTCATTTTCGAATGTCTTTATGATTATTCCATCCTTCACAGACCAGATAATAATCCTTCCTGAGTCATCACCACTAGCTAGATATGTGTAGGTGGGGTCATAGTCTAAACACATGACCATGCCTGTATGGCCTGAAAGAGTGTCTACTCATTTGTTCCCTGCAAGGCTCCAAATTTTGATAGTTCCATCAGCTGATCATGATGCTAATCTCAATTCTGAGCTTGGTAAGCTGGACCCATATCCCGTAGGGCTCCACTTGAGGCTATGAATCATTTCCTTATGTTCATTGAAAGATATAACAGTGCTATCGTGTTTATGATTCCATATCTGGATAGTACAATCTTCTCCCCCTGAGGCTAGGAAAGCTCCAGTAGGATCCCACTTCAATCATTTAATGTTGCTTTCATGAGAACTTAATGTCTTCTGTGCCGATGAACTTTGGACATCCCAAATCTTTATAATTCCATCCTGAGAACCTGTTGCAAACATATTGTTGTTCTTCCAATCAATAGTGGTGACTGGGTCTGTATGGCCTTGGTAGGAAGCTCTGAGTTTACCCTCTGTGTTCCAGAGGATTACATTATTTTTCTCGCTGACTGTCACTAGTGCACTTCCATCTTTATTCCATTTGCAATCAAAAATAGAGTCAATGTCTACAGGGGATATGAGGTCTTTGTCCAAACCCTCCCCTGAAATAGGCAAGCCTTCTTTCTTGCTGAGAGGCATTGAGTCTTCATTGAGCATTATAGCTGTGGCGGTACCCTGGGAGTCCCACATTCTACAGATTCCATCATTCGCGCCTGTGACAAATCAGCTCCCATCAGGCCTCCAGTCAATGGAGTTGATGGTAGTTGTAGTATGCATCATTGATTTATTGGGGAGCTCGGGGGCAACATGAGGAAGCGAGGATATTTCTTCAGATGTGACTACATTCTCACTCATGTTCCAAAGACTTGAATATTCATTATCTCCCCCAAAAACAAGCATATGATTTTTCGGGTTCCAGGCAACTTTTAAAGTTTTATTACTTTTGCTTTCCAAAATTTTAATTTTAGATTCGCTATTTTCTAAAAAGGAAGATTTTCGAATTGGGGCGGCTCCATACACACCACCTGGCCTACCGGTGGCCATTTTGGGGTGAGTAGGATCAAACTCTTCTTTTCTGGATTCGTCCTCCATCTCTTGGTCAAGATCTTTCCGCTGCTAGAGGAGTATTATCAATTATTGCTTACCTTGATATTTCCACTCGAGTTATTAATAATCCCGTCTAGCGGATTTGGATCGATATTACTCTTATCAGTGAGAGTATTGAGATCCCCTGGCTTCTTCTCCCTTGTGACTGTGGATCAATGGTGCGGATTCAGGAGTGTAAATGGTTCATTTCAAACTGTCATCCTGTCACCCTCATTATAGTGGGTCTCGATATGAATAAGTGTCAGCGCTTTTTCAAGGAAAACAACCAACATTCCGGCAGGAATATGGAAGTGTTTGAATTTATTCTCTATAATGTTAGATTCCTTTCCGAAGGTATAAGCGCTATGGGCAAAACCCGACTCTTGAAGGTATTGGTATATGATAAAATTAATCTCTTCAGCTGTGATCTGCAGCATCTTTTTCTTTAATAAGTATTTAAATTCAATAAGAATTCATTTTTACGGGGTTTTGGGGTTTTGGGGTTTTGGGGTTTTGGGGTTTTGGGGTTTTGGGG